ACAAACCACCACAATCTTTTAGCAATAACTTTGTCCATGGGTTTAGGGCAATAGGTCTGTATGATTTGGGCTCGATTTGGGGTTTTAAAATAGGGAGGACTAGGCTGAGTTTGTATGATGGACATGAGAGTTAAGGATATTATTGAAGTGTTGTAAAATTTTGAGTTTAAAAGGGGTTGGTGTGTTTTTTATCATGCAGTAGGAAATACGATCTGGTCCTGGAGTGGCACCTTTGAGAGAGCTGAGGGCAGATAGAAGTTCTATTAGGCTTATGTCTTTTTCTATTTCTAGCGCTGAGTGGCATGAGAAGTAGTTTGTTGAGTCGCTGGGAGCGTCTCCAGTTTTTGTTGTATTTTTGTTTGCGGCTTTGAGAGATGCTAGCATACGCTTTGATTCAGAGAGAGATAGGATTTGAACTGGGTTAGTGGTTGGTTTGGGGATTGGGTGGGTTGAATTGGAAGAGTCTAATTTTTTGTCTATAGGTAGATCTGCGTATGAAGTTAGTTGTTTTCTGGGAGAGATTGTACTTGCTGTTAGAGGTTGGGTCCTTTCAGTTGTTGAGGTCCTGAATTTTGTGAAGGTGTAGTGTTGTGATGTGTTGTTTTGGTGATGGATGAGTAGGAAATGGGTGAGTTGTTCGAATTTCTTGATCTTAGTATTGTTAGGGCAGTTTTGTTATCGCATTTTTTGGTTGTCTTGATGGCTCTGATATGCTTTGATATGCTTTGGAAGGTCATGGCGGCTTAACATAATTATTATTAGACCAGTCTCTTTAAGTGTGCCGTTTTCCCTTTTCAGAATCTTTTTAACTTCGCATACGTCCTGGTTAGCTAGTTCTTGTTGAATAATATTTTCTTCTATTCCTCTTAGGTCATTAGAATAGATTACTCCTTTGGTTGAGTTTAGAGCGTTGTAGATACTCACTTCGATTTTTATGTCGTGTGCAAAAGCTTTCAGTGCGAACAATCCATTGGCTTTAATGTTTGTTTTTGTTTTGATTAGTAGTGTTCTGTTTCTCAGCTTGTTGCAGTCTTCAACCTCACCGCCACAGGTGAAGTCAATTTGTTTTTTGATTAGAAATGGGTTGATGTTGCTAAGATCTAGATGCAGATCACATCTTTTGATAATAAGGTATTTTGGGCAGGTAATCGACCTGGATCGGGCGGATCCCGCATCACGCCGTTACTGTGTTTTCAACCCTTGGTTTAGTCTTGCACTTGTTTGCTTTGCGCACTTGTGCACTTGTGGTTACTGTTAAGACTTTGGTGAGTGTTGTTGGTAGTTATTTTTTTGTTTGTTATGTTTTGGGTTTGCTTTGGCAGCGTCTGATCTCTATGAGAGTGAGTTTGTGACTGAAAAGAAATAATATAATTTGTTTAAAAGAGAATTTTAAATTTTTTATGAGTATTAAGAATGCATTTATGAATAATTTTGGAGAATATAATTTACAGAGTTTTCTGCAAGGGTATATCAACTTCGGCTCCGCCCGAAGTTAGCTTTCCTTTCTCGTTATACCCGTTACTCGTAGAGTAAAAGGGTATATTGTATTCGTGCAAAAGTATGTAACAGGTAGAAGAAAGCGTTTCCGACCCTATAAAGTATATATATTCTTGTTCAGGATCACTAGCCGAGTCGATCTAGCCATGTCCGTCTGTCTGTCCGTATAAACGCTGAGATCTCAGAAACTATAAAAGCTGGAAGATTGGCATTTTGCATGTAGATTTTAGGAGTTCCCACGCAGCGCAAGTTTGTGCCACGCCCCCTCTGACGCCCACAAGCCACAAGCTGTGGCCACAGCTTTGATGCTATTATGAAAATTTTAATTGATATGTATTTGTTTCGTCAATACCTATTGATTGGCCTAATAAAAGTTTGCCACGCCCACTCTAATCATTCTTTAATTTTTTGGAAGACAGCTGTTAGATTTGTAGAGGGGTTCTTTTTTTTTTGTGTTCTATGATTATATGGAAATCGTCAGCGTAGGCCGTAAACTTAGATTGTCTAGAAATGGAAATGATGGAAAGATAACAGAGATGGGTGAGCCTTGTGTGATGCGGTTGTCAAGTGGGAAAGAGTTGGAAAGTGAGGTTCCGTTTTTGACTATGATTTTTCTGTTGTTAATAAAATTAGCCACGTATTTTACTATTCGAGGGCCTACTGTCCATTTTTGGAGTTGGTGGATGAGGGAATGAATATCTATTTTATCAAAGGCTTTTGCGAAATCTAGGGATAAGATAGAAATGTGTCGTTTTAATTAAAGGGCTCAGGTCACTAGATGGTCTACATATAGTAGACTGTCTAGGACAGATTTTCCCCTTTTAAAACCGAATTGGTTGTTGTGCAAGAGTTTCTTCGTTAAAACAAACCACCACAATCTTTTAGCAATAACTTTGTCCAGAACGTTTGCTAAACATGGGTTTAGGGCAATAGGTCTGTATGATTTGGGCTCGATTTGGGGTTTTAAAATAGGGAGGACTAGGCTGAGTTTGTATGATGGACATGAGAGTTAAGGATATTATTGAAGTGTTGTAAAATTTTGAGTTTAAAAGGGGTTGGTGTGTTTTTTATCATGCAGTAGGAAATACGATCTGGTCCTGGAGTGGCACCTTTGAGAGAGCTGAGGGCAGATAGAAGTTCTATTAGGCTTATGTCTTTTTCTATTTCTAGCGCTGAGTGGCATGAGAAGTAGTTTGTTGAGTCGCTGGGAGCGTCTCCAGTTTTTGTTGTATTTCATTTGATTTTTTGTTTGCGTTTTTGTTTGCGGCTTTGAGAGATGCTAGCATACGCTTCGATTTAGAGAGAGGTAGGATTTGAACTGGGTTAGTGGTTGGTTTGGGGATTGGGTGGGTTGAATTGGAAGAGTTTAATTTTTTTTGTCTATAGGTAGATCTGCGTATGAAATTAGTTGTTTTCTGGGAGAGATTGTACTTGCTGTTAGAGGTTGGGTCCTTTCAGTTGTTGAGGTCCTGAATTTTGTGAAGGTGTAGTGTTGTGATGTGTTGTTTTGGTGATGGATGAGTAGGAAATGAGTGAGTTGTTCGAATTTCTTGATCTTAGTATTGTTCGGGCAGTTTTGTTATCGCATTTTTTGGTTGTCTTGATGGCTCTGATATGCTTTGATATGCTTTGGAAGGTCATGGCAGCTTAACATAATTATTATTAGACCAGTCTCTTTAAGTGTGCCTTTTTCCCTTTTCAGAATCTTTTTAACTTCGCATACGTCCTGGTTAGCTAGTTCTTGTTGAATAATATTTTCTTCTATTCCTCTTAGGTCATTAGAATAGATTACTCCTTTGGTTGAGTTTAGAGCGTTGTAGATACTCACTTCGATTTTTCAGTGCGAACAATCTATTGGCTTTAATGTTTGTTTTTGTTTTGATTAGTAGTGTTCTGTTTCTCAGCTTGTTGCAGTCTTCAACCTCACCGCCACAGGTGAAGTCAATTTGTTTTTTGATTAGAAATGGGTTGATGTTGCTAAGATCTAGATGCAGATCACATCTTTTGATAATAAGGTATTTTGGGCAGTTAATCGACCTGGATCGGGCGGATCCCGCATCACGCCGTCACTGTGTTTTCAACCGTTGGTTTAGTCTTGCACTTGTTTGCTTTGCGCACTTGTGCACATGTGGTTACTGTTAAGACTTTGGTGAGTGTTGTTGGTAGTTATTTTTTTGTTTGTTATGTTTTGGGTTTGCTTTGGCAGCGTCTGATCTCTATGAGAGTGAGTTTGTGACTGAAAAGAAATAATATAATTTGTTTAAAAGAGAATTTTAAATTTTTTATGAGTATTAAGAACAGGGCTGTGAACCACTCCGGAGCTGAACCACTCCGAACCGGAGTGGTTCACATTTTTTAGAAAACGAACCGAACCGTAAACCGGAGCGCCGAAGTTTTTTATAATTGAACCGGAGCCGAACCGGAACTTTTTTTTTGATATTCGGTTAGGTTCAAAAAAAATTGATTTTGTGTGTTCTTGTTTTTCTATTCAACATTGTGGGGGATTTTCTGATCATATTAACATAGAGTTTATTTACTAAGGGAAATAAAAATGCTCAAATATATTGTCTATGCAATGCCTGCATCTAACTCAATCAATCTAATAATATATAATTATCATCTTCCAAAACTTTTCGCAGTATGCCCACATTAAAATTACATGATTAAATTCATGGTAGTATACTAATAATAGAGTATTTCCAGTAAGACGATTTTCTATGCGGAATGTTAAAAAAACATATTTAATTATGTGAATGTAACAAAAAAACAAGAAAGGAAAGCTAACTTTGGGCGGAGCCGAAGTTGATATACCCTTGCAGAATACTCTGTAAATTATATTCTCCAAAATTATTCATATGATGCATTCTTAATAACATCTATGTTTCGATGGGTTTCAGAAAAAAACATCGATATATCGATACATCGAATTCTATACTAATTTTAACGTATATTTTATTTTTTTATATTTAATTAATCAAAAATGTGTTAAGATTACCAAGATTCTTTCCTGCCAAACACTGATGGGTAAAGAGGAAACATCGATGTTTGTAAACATGTTTGTAAACATCGATGTTTCCCAAGTTTTGGAAAACATCGATGTATCGTTACATCGCCGATGTTATTTCCAGCTCTAGTTGGGAGTTCCAATTCTTCGAAATGGCTCTTTTACCAGCAGCAATGGAAAACCAAAAAGTTCACGACTTCTTCATTTATAATGAAGACAATAATAAAAATAAGTGTAAACTTTGCGATTTCGAAATGACAGGCAAACATGCCTCAAATTTAAAACGGCATATTGAAAGGAAGCACAAGGAGTTGGTACAGAAAATTGAAACAAATAAGAAGCAAGTAGCAGCCGACCAGCCACCTATAAAGCAATTCTTGGAAACAGCATATGTCAAAGTGAAAATCACCAAAGCTGACATTTTAGATGCTTGCCTGGAACTAGTCACTAAAAATGGGCGCCCATTAAAAATAGTTGAAGATTCTGGTTTTTTAAAAATTCTAAAGCCCATGTGTGACGCTTTTAGCCCTCCATTGAAAATCAATCGCTTTAACATACGGAACTTAATTCAGGAAAAAGCTAGTAGCATTCGCTTACACATTAAAAATGTTCTACAAAATCGGTTAGTCCAACAGAACCCCTGTTACTTGGTGATATTACATTTTGTTTTATATATTTTTTTAGACTTATATCTATAAAAGTGGATTGTGTAAGCCGTTTGGATCGTGCTATCATCGGAATAAACGCTCAGCTTCATAATGGTTCGGAAGTAAGGTGCTACACATTAGCTATGAAAGAAATACACGTGCAGCATACAAGCGTAAACTTAACCACGATTATCCAAAAAGTGCTGGAGTCTTTTGAAGTTTCGCTCCGACAAATATATACGCTGACGGTGGACAATGGTGCCAATATGGTTTTGGCGGGAAATAAACTAAACCAATTATGTAGGGTTGACCTCGATGCAGAGCACTCCGAATGCGAATGCATTTTTACAGAAATTGAATAAGATCAAATTCAAGTGGATTTACCTCAGGACTCAATCACCACAGTGCGTTGCGAGCGCACACTTTAAATTTAGTTGTTTCTGATTTTTTAAAAGAAATCAAGGATTGATTTATCTAAAATACGCACTTTATGTAAAAAACTAAGAACTCCAACCATTCTAAATCTGCTTCATTTAGAAAATTTAAACAAGCCGATATTAGACTGCGCCACGCGGTGGAATTCCACGTATTTAATGTGCGACCGAGTTCTTACATTAAAAGAATTTTGTCTAAAAAGCTCAAATGACATAAAAGAACTTCGTTTAAAAAACACCGAATGGGACGCAGTGAAAAATTTGTGATATTTGCTGAAACCTCTTTATGAGTTCTCCTTAAAGCTTCAGAAACTGAATTTGTTGCCAAGTAACTTCTATTTCCAGTGGTTTTCTCTTCGCTTTAAGACATTAAAATCGTCCTCTAAATATAGTGTAGCATTGTCAAAATGCTTAGAAAAGCGATCACACATATTGAATTCAGTTCCTATAATATCATCCGTTTTTCTTGACCCTAGATATCAAGTAGTATTATTAAGAGAGCAAAAAAAATGACGCTAAGGCACACCTGCGTGAAATATATCAAAGGCAACTTGCCTTGGGTGATGATGCCGTTTTCAATGCCTCTGCGGCCTCTGCATGTTCAATAGATGATGAAAATGAAAATTTATTATCTCAATATGATACTAACTATAATATTAAAGGCAGGAAAACAGCTTGTGATTTTATTAATTCTTTCGATGGCATAGAAAGAATTAGAATGAAAGACGATAGTATTTTGAAGTTTTGGGACGTCTATCGTTGTGAAAACTTAAGAAAACTAGCTTATGTTGTTCATGCCGTACCTGCTACACAGGTATCAGTAGAAAGGGCGTTTTCCACTTTGAAATTTGTTTTATCTGATCTCAGGGGTAGCATTGATGAAGATATTTTGGAAGATATTATGTTAGTTAACCTCAACTGATGAACACTTTATAAATCATAACTCTTGTAACTTTACTTATAAGTCTTAATGTTATGGTACATATTTGAAGGAAAATACATGGAAATAAATGTTGACTTTATTATTTCATTAAAAAAAAAAATATTTATTTGAACCCTGGTTCGAACCCGAACCCTGCTCCGGCTCATCAATGAACCGGTTCGCAAACCGGAACATTATCTGTCGATTAGGTTTGAACCCCGAACCGAACCCATGCCAAAATAATATGGGTTCACAGCCCTGATTAAGAATGCATCATATGAATAATTTTGGAGAATATAATTTACAGAGTTTTCTGCAAGGGTATATCAACTTCGGCTCCGCCCGAAGTTAGCTTTCCTTTCTCGTTATACCCGTTACTCGTAGAGTAAAAGGGTATATTGTATTCGTGCAAAAGTATGTAACAGGTAGAAGAAAGCGTTTCCGACCCTATAAAGTATATATATTCTTGTTCAGGATCACTAGCCGAGTCGATCTAGCCATGTCCGTCTGTCCGTCTGTTCGTCTGTCTGTCCGTCTGTCTGTCCGTATGAACGCTGAGATCTCAGAAACTATAAAAGCTGGAAGATTGGCATTTTGCATGTAGATTTTAGGAGTTCCTACGCAGCGCAAGTTTGTGCCACGCCCCCTCTGACGCCCACATGCCACAAGCTGTGGCCACAGTTTTGATGCTATTATGAAAATTTTAATTGATATGTATTTGTTTCGTCAATACCTATTGATTGGCCTAATAAAAGTTTGCCACGCCCACTCTAACGCCCAAAAACCCATTAAACGCTTAAGTCTGGCTAGCGCCTACATTTCCGCCTTTCATGGCGCCATCTAACGGATGACTTTGGAACAGCTGGCCAAGGTGCTCAACAGAGTCAACGTTAATTCTCGATGAGGATTTCTATTAAAGGAAATTGCGATGGTTTTCATTTGTCAATACCGAACTATATCCCAAGAACCATGCAAATCAAATCAAGTTAGACACATTGGAGGTCTGAGTCAAATAATGGCGTATGTGTGTAAGTTATCCAACCCGTGAAACGGTTCCACTTATGGAACTAATAAACAAATTTTTAAATTCAATTATCCAACGGTTCCACTTATGGGATTAATAAACAAATTTTTAAATTCAATCTGAGCTACATTGCCTTTGCCTTTATTTATGATTCTGCCTTCGCCTTTTTCATTAACTTCGAAGGCCGCGCTTGACCGTTCTGCTAAGATAAATAAACGTATAGTAAAGTAAACAACAGCTTCCGTTCGAAGCCAAACTCTCACGTTCAAAGACAAAAGTTTTGCGTTCCAATTTTTAATCAAAATTGCATCGGTCAGCATAATTGAATTTCACAACGAGATGCGACAGTTTCAGCATAAGCTTTTATTTTAAACAAAAATCAAAGTTCTAGAAGCTTAAAAAAGAAAAGCTTCTGGCCGAGGTTCGTTGGAGAAGATTTTAGAATTAAGGAGGCAGTCTTATTCGGATTGAAACCGGGATCGGTCATAAGAAATAATAATAAGTGAAAGTGTCTTGATGTAATAAAGAGTTAGTGAATTAAGGTCTGCACCAATAAAGTGAAATTAAAAAATAAAATTTATATTTTTTTAATCAACCAATACGATCAAATTTAATTGGCGCCCAACGTGGGGCTGTGTCATTAAAAAGTTCCAAAAATAAAAATTTAATGAAAAACAAAGTTAAATTAACAACGGAACTCGCGCAGCCAAGAACTCAAATTTTTATTGGAAAAATTAAAACATCCAACACCAAACAGTGATCGTGTAATGGAAACCAATAAATGAAATAATCCATTAAGTTGATTAGTTGGTGGACTGAAGATCTAAATCTCAAACATCAAGAACACTATAAAAATAAAATAAATCCGAAAACCGCTAAAACCGCTAAAACAAATAAAACTACAAAACCAACCAAAAACAACAAGCAAATAATAATAATAATAATAAAAACCGAAGACAAATTGAAAGGAAGGGCTGTAGGGCAATCCCTCGCCAACACTGGAAAAATGTTTTTAATCTCTGTCGACAACAAGAAGAACATCGCATAAATTGAAGGAAGACCCCATCGGACAGTATCGTGAGGATAAATATAATTTTACTTTAATTAAGGAGTTTGAAAAGAAAATTAATTTAAGACAAGCAAATTTTTTAAGAAATAACAGTGAGAATAAAAAAGAACAATCTGGAAAATTTAATAGATAGTTTCGGTGAATTAAATTTAAAAATGGCAACCTGAAGTTCAACTAATTTTTCTGCAGGTGGTTTAGCCACAGCCAGTAACCTAACTGTGGAATTAGATTATTAACAGATTAATTAATGTTCAATTGAGCGAAGTAAGCAAAAAAATAGATGGTTTGGAAGAAAAGTTAGCAACAGACGCAAACATAGTAGAGGACTATAAAATTCAAGAAGTTGACCCAAATATAAAATGTGAAACCACTCTTGAAGTAATTAAATCATTACCGAAGTTCACCGGGGAACCAACACAATACGTAGGTTGGAGAGAAGCTGCAGAAACTGCAATGAGCCTTTATAAAATTCAAAGTCAGCAGTATTTTATCGCGTTAACAATTTTACGAAATAAAATCATGGGATCAGCCCATGACGCTCTTACCAATCATGGCACTGTTCTAAATTTTCAAGGAATTTTATCTAGATTGGATTTTATATATAGTGATAAACGACCAATCCATATTCTTGAGTCCGAATTAAGTATCCTTAGACAAGGTAGAATGACAGTTACTGAATACTATAATGAAGTTAATAAAAAAATGACTTTACTAATAAACAAAACTATAATGACATACGGAAAAGATAACGTAATTACCAAAGAAACAAACAAAACAATAAGGAGCAATGCTCTACGAATTTTTATCTCTGGATTAAATGGTCCGATAGCAGAAACCCTTTTCTCATTAAATCCACCGGACTTGCCCAATGCGTTGGCAAAGGTCCAGGAATTAGAGTCAAACAATTTCCGAGCTCAATTTGCAAACAGATACTATGGTTTTAAAAATGAAAATAAAAATCAGGGAAATAATTTAAGATTTAATTCTAAACAAAACACTAATACTAAAGGGAACGGAAATAATTGGAATTATAATCAAAATAATAATTGGCCACAGAATCAGAATTTTTGGCAAAATAATAATCAGAATACCAATCAAAAAGAACAACCTGTCGAGCCAATGGATGTAGATTCATCGCTCCAATTTCAAAATAAGCCCAGAAATAATTGGCAGTCAAATAATAATCGAGGTAGATATAATAATAATTATTATCAAAACAATAATCGCACAAACTATTATCGTCCAAATCAAACCAAAGAGCAAACTCAAGCTCAAACAAGAAAGGAAAGCTAACTTCGGGCGAAGCCGAAGTTGATATACCCTTGCAGAATACTCTGTAAATTATATTCTCCAAAATTATTCAAATGATGCATTCTTAATACTCATAAAAAATCCCAACTTCCTACCTTTAAAAACACCAAAGTTATGGCATTTCCAATTGTTCAGTTATATGGCAGCTATAGGATATAGTCGGCCGATCCTTATGAAATTTGGTAGGTCGGATTGATTAGCCAAATATAAAACCCATAGAAAATCCCAACTTCCTAACTTTACAAACACCAAAGTTATGGCATTTCCGATCAATCAGTATATAATATATAGGATATATGGACAAGAGCCGATCCTTATGAAATTTGGTAGTATTGATTGGCCAAATATAATACCCATAGAGAGTCCCAACTTCCTAACTTAACAAACAGCAGAGTTATGGCATTTCCGATCAATCAGTTATATGGCAGCTATAGGATATAGTCGGCCGATCCCGGCCGTTCCGACTTATATACTGCGTGCAAAGGAAAGAAGGGTGTGTGCCAAGTTTCAATTCGATAGCTTTAAAACTGAGAGACTAGTTTGCGTAGAAACAGACAGACGGACAGACAGACGGACAGACAGACGGACAGACGGACATGGCTATATCAACTCAGGAGGTGATCCTGATCAAGAATATATATACTTTATAGGGTCGGAGATGTCTCCTTCACTGCGTTGCACACTTTTGACCAAAATTATAATACCCTCTGCAAGGGTATAAAAAGGGAACTAGAAGGAACAGTTAATCAGCCTGCTAATAAGGTAACAAGATTAAATAATATCAATGAAGATCATTTTTTAGATCAGACCCCTACAGGGGAATGCCTTATCTAAAAAGAGTGGACAGAAAAACTAAGAAAGAGTTAAATATTTTAATAGACACGGGAGCAACGGCTTGCTATATAAAGAAGGGAATTTTTGAGAATAA